TGTCTGGGGGGAATTCTGGATTTAAATGGTCAGTTTTAAAACAGTTTTTTTAATCTTCATCCTTTTTTACCCGAGAATGTTCTGTCGGACAGCAGGGAATCCTGGGATGTTCTCATAGTGGATGATGTCAGTGTGCAGGGGAGGCTCTGTCATCAGGTAGGGCCGCGTCAGTGATGGATGCATCAGGGTGTAACCTGGGAAATCAAACAATAAGTTGACAAGCAAGATCATTAATAGTTAGTACAACAACAACTTACACAGACCAAGTAAGAAAAAACTGCATCTGCATGGAACATTAAAACAACTACTGTGTCTGTATTATGGACCAGCAGAGCAACTGGTGGTCACTGTCAAACAAGGCACAACAAAGTTATATTGCACAATTACTCATTCTATCAATATTCATCTACTTTCCACCAATTAAAGTACAAATCATAGTCATTTAAATTAGCATTTTATACAGGTCAAGTGACAAGGCTCAATTCCAGGAGTATTATTCCCCAATAACTAAAAATGTCAGAAAGAATGTGAAATCCTTGTTTTTTCCACATTTGATACATGCCACCACTGATATATTGATATAGTGACACCAATTTTTTAAACCTTTTGTCCTATTGACCAATTCTGGAAGCTCCAAAGACAGTCAAACAATAAGACTAGCCATGGTATAGCGCCTCCTTATCTAACCAGTTTAGCAAAAAACAAAAACAAAAAAAAGCCTAAAAATAAATGAAATAAATTACATTTCAAATTCAGAAATAATAAACCTCCTGCCTGTCTTTTGGAGTGTAGAATTACTCACACCAGATACATCTAGAGGTTTATACTTGTACCCTCTCCAAAACACATCTGAGGATGGTAGATGGATACATACACACAAAGACATTTACTTTACTTTTTTTTTTTACTTTAATCTAATAATATAAGGCTGTTGATGCTACAAAGTGCATGCTGCTCATTTTAATGCTGCTCTCTATCCAAATTCCACTGAGATGGACAACAACATATAACCTTTAAACGTTTCTAAAGAAGCTCAGTATCAAATAGTACTCTGGTGGTGCTGAGGAGTGTAGGGCTGTGATAAATGGCTCTTAACAGCACCTGTAATCATGTTGGGAGAGACAAAAAGCCCTCAAGATACTGGATTGAAAGTCCATCTGTTCTGAAAGAAGTAAACAAACGTGTTTTTTTACACAGTTCTAATGCATGGTGTAGCAGCAGGTGTGGTCTCTCACACTCTTTATGGATAATCCATATGCTGTATTAGACAAAGCATCTCTGTCCTCATACAGCATACTACAGTGCACATGGAGAGGACCAGAACATTGATAGAAATTACACATAAATCTATACATAATCCAGTTCAGGTACCAAACATAGTGTACTTAATAGTAATACTATGCTACTGTACTTAAGTTGGTTTATCAGGTATCTGTACTTTACTATAAACTATTTATTTTGACATTCTTCTGAATGTCAAAAATTTTGGTATATCTTCTTCTAACATTTTACTTTTACCCCGTACATTTTTACTCAAATATCTGCACATTTTACTCCTTACATTTTCAAAATGGGCTTGCTACTTAGATTTGAATGATTTTGAGTAGAATTATTGATGATTTTAATATTATTTTGCAACATTTCACACCTTCCAAACATCATATGCATATGATGACAGACGTAACATGACAAAAACAATGAAAAAGACGTACCAAGATGAAACAGACGAGAGGGAGACTTGACCCGATTTTAAGTTTCAGTTAGCTTTGCACAGGAACAGCTTGTGGAAATGTCTTTCAGAGAGTACTTTTTACTTTTACTTGAGTAAAGAAGTTAAATCAGTACTTCTACTCTCTATTTTTTTTATACACTTCTACTTGAGTTAAGAATGTGTGTACTTTTGCCACCTCTTTTAGAGGCTTGTTTCTTTCTGATCAACACACAGACTCAAAATGTTAATAGACAAATGCCTCCCACACCAAAATCTTTGCAATTTACTCATCTGCTATTTTTAGTTCCTGGTCCGGAAGCCTCTTGTCAGTGGTGTATTTACCTAATCATATTTACCTACACTCTAATTGGCAGCAGACGATTTGAATGCCAACTAATAACTTTAATGGGCCTCATTTGTCAATGTTTACCGACTTGCTGCACTAATAAGCATGGTGCAGTAATAAGCTATAATTTGATGGCATATTTATTACAATAACAAACATTTAAAGGGAAAAAAGGAGACTTATTGAATGGCACAGCAGAGGAGCAAAACTCACACAGCTGCAAAAATTCACTTGCAATAATTAGGTTTAATAGTGGAAGATTCTGATGCTGAACACTTATTCAAACCCTCCAGGTGAGTAAACGTCCATGTTTTTGGTTTTGCTCCACTATACTTCACTTCCCCTCCCTCCTAAATATCTCTACACTCTACACGTCATGCAACCTTTCATTTCAACCTCATCTTGTTCCAACTTGTTTTAATCATCCCTTCCTCTTGCCTCATATTAGCATGGCACTGCCTCCAAGTCCGCAAAACAATACACATATCAAGTCTGGTTACTGTGGTGATTGTTGCCAGTCATGTTAGATATACCCGGCCTTCCTGCCGTCTACATTTCAACTTTAATTTAATTTTCCCTTTAGGCATGGCAAGTATTCAGTTTCAGTTTGGGTTATTTGTAGTGTTTTCCCTGATCTCCTCTGCGTTGGGACTTGGGTGATATCACAAATACAGAGAGCTTGTAGAAGAGATACAGATCTGAACAACAGCTGGGTTGTACATAGATACTCTCCCTTCACTTACAAATATAGGTGTGTTACCTGTAACAGCAATAAAGTTTCAATTTTAACAGATAGTTTTTCACTTTTAGTTTCAATTACTATCTTATTAGCTTGGCAGGAGCGGGACAAACCCTGTCCATTAATGTCACTGCTCTCCAGGCCTACAGAGCACAACTTACCTGCTGTGCAGCACCAGTGGTTTAGTCAAGACCCCCTCAGCTGTGGCCAAAACAAACCAAGACCGGACATGAGCACTACCGCCCAGCACTGTGGCAAAGCACTGAGGCATGGCTCAACATAGAATGAGATGCCAAAGAAGTGCCAGTGCTACCAAGAAGATGTCAATTAAGTCTAATAAGGCATAATGGCTCTGGAGGAAGTTGAGACAGACAAAATAAGGAGTAATTCCACTTGTATGTGAAACAAGAACACCAAAATACACTTTCTTCCAACCATTTGGGGTGTTTCTCTAAGGCTGTGACTAATAAAGATTGATACCCTGAACACGCACAGGAATGTTTTGTAGACCACTGGAGTCTGCCGGACCTGTAGGTCGTAGCATGATCTTTCCTGATTGTTGCTTGTTTTGTTTCTGGCTTAGAAATCTAAGCAACAGGCAATGAGTGACTGATTTGATCTGCTATGTTTGTTGTATTACCCCGTAGACCTGTTATTACTGCACATGGAAAAACCTTTATTTGGAGAACAGGCTGTCATGACTCAAAGCCTTATTTGGTTGTACACCTACTTTACAAACACTGCTGACCACAAGTTGAAAAAGACACAGTTCCTGCACGGTGTGTGGGAGAGTCAGGAGCCCACAAAGAATGTTACTGATCACTACCACCTTGCCTGTCTCTATGTGACTGACCTTTGTTGTCAATGAGGAATGTGTATGAAGCCAGTGAGTCTTGGTAGTAGGTGACATCCTCCAAGATGTAGGCCAGGTTCACATCCACCCCGACCACGCCCAAGAGCAGGTTACCAAAATAACACGGCCGGCTCACCGTCATAATAAAACCTGGAGAAAGAAGAACAAGGATCTAAGTTAAGTTCATAAAAAGTCTCAGCTCAGTTTAAGTTTTATACACAAAGTTATCCCTTTGCCTTCAGTAGAAGTGTTTACTTGCCGAGAGTTAGATCAGAAAACCAATATACTTCTCATGTCTGTACAATAAATATGAACCAAGAGCCACCAGGCAATGAGCTTCGCTTAGCTTACCTTCAAAGCTCATGAATTAACACGTTATGTCTCTTTTAATCTCCCCTGGCAAGTCACTGGCCCAGGGGAAAAAATTGTTTCCGCATGCAACTCCCTGTAAAACCGCAACTTGTTGTTTTTACTACTAGCTGCTGCATGTTTCCATTCTTGATGCTAAGCTAAGCTAACACCCTGCTGGTTCTAGCTTTGTATTAAGATCACAGATATTAGAGTGGTATCAATCTCTGGTCTCATCTCTTGGCAAGAAAGCGAATTTGTGTATTTTCTAAAATGTTGAACTATTCCTTCAAATTGTATATAATTGCAATTCATATCACTTGTTCTGGATGAGAATCTTTACTATCTGGCCAAAAGTTTAAATGTTATTCAATATTCACCGTCTCCCATTGGGTCAGAGTAGGGCAGGCTAAAGCGGGCCAGGTCAATCATGCGATTGGGCAGATTGATGTAGAAGCGGCCCACTGTTGTCTCCAGGTTGCTCAGCTGGTTTAGTACCATCATGCTTCCCTTCACCACCGGCATCATGGAAGAGCCTGCTGATCCAGACGAGGACACCACAGAGGAGCGGTCCCGGTCCGACATTCGGTCGACACCGTATTTCACCGAATTTTGCTCTGCAAGATCCCTCAAGAAGGCCAGCTCCTTCAGGCCCGTTACTCCCTCTGAAGGAATGAGATAAACAATGAGTTTAGGATAGGGAGGGGGAGTCGATGACGGAATTTGTTTGATTTAATCAAGCAGGGATAATAAGAACAAATCCGTAACTGACGGCATGGCTAAAGGCCTATTGAAGAGAGTAATTGTGCAAATGAAAAGAGGAGGGAGTGGTTGAAAGGAGGTAAAAAGAGTAAAGAGCTCTTCACTAAAGAGTGCATGACTCCTATTATAAAAGGCAACCCAGTGCTCTCTGTAAAAAACAATTCCTTCAAGGAGCTGGAAAAAAAGAAATCACACTCCGGCCACCAAACAGGCACTAAATTCATCAAGATGTTTTTAAACGAGAGATGTATTTAACCTCATGCAGTTCACGTGCTAAAGCAGCAAGAGGCTTGCAATAAACTGGATCATTAATCAAAGTGCATACTATACATCGCCGCATGGATTTCACAACTTCTTGGGCATCGGCATCAGAGATATTTCATACATGCAGGCCTTGACTTGTGATCCTGCGTCACAATCTCTATAAGCTTTATTCGTACAATCCCATGCATCTGCCAAACACAACTGTCGTCTACGAGGCTCAGAGATCATAACGTGAATAAATCCCTCACCGCTTTAAAGAAAATATGCGACTGAGACATTAATGCACAGTTCAGACTATCTTTCCAAGCCTCGTAAGGTCATTTAGGGGAGAATGGATAAGCATGGCCGTGCAGCTGTCACCTGGAACATTTGGCATCCCACAACCCAGTGGGAAGGATAGAGCGCAGAATCTCTGCCAGTATCCAATCATTGACTGGATTACTGCAGAATCCCTTTTTAATGCCAAGGCTCTGCTCTGCTGATCATCACACTGGGCGACTGACGGAAGGTAATGTCGCCATGGGTGGCAATGTCAAACGAACACAAAGGAGAAAATTTGCTGACAGCACAGGTTTCTGTTCACTTTAATTTAGGAGGGAGTATCCATTCCCACTGTTATTTCTAGGATACGCATGATAATCCTGGAAAATCTACCTTCTTAAATAAATTCCATGTGCTTTATTGTAAGCAAACACAATTATGTTTGCATTTAGTATTTCTCAATAAAATGATTTATATCTTTGAGGCCTAAGAAACATGAGAAGATATGCAAAGGTGATTTTTTTTAATAATTTAAAAAAACAGATCATTTGCCAGCAGGTCACAAGGAATCAATATAACTGTCCCAAAAGTTTTTAGGCTAATTATGCCTTTTACAGCTCGTCTGTGCTGCATCTTTCCTCATCACTCCTTACTACAGTAGGTCATCAGTATGTGAGGTAATCTGTCCATCACCACCCACTTAATCTATGTGCACTGTGTTCCTACTACTGGTGCAACTACCTAACTGAGATCAATAAAAACAACAACTGAGAGTTACTTTAGAGGAGGAGGAGGAGGAGAGGTATGGGAGATAAAGGTCTTAAAGTGTGTGTAATATTTAAAAGTTCTACTCTTTCCCCCCATCAGCAGTCCACCAAAATGGTTTTTCAAATTCAAAACTGAATCAACAGCCCAAAACAGACAAACCAAAAACTAGCTCTAGATAGGGCCGTTTATGTTTTTGGCGTGTTTCGTAAAACCTAATATGTTTATACTGTTTCAAAGATATAATTAAATAAAAACAAACAAAAAACAAAAGAAAACAGCTATATTCACGTAATAATCAACATGGGAGGGTAGAAGCCATAGTCCATAAACCCTAGCTGACAGTCGAGCAGTTTATTCAGACTACCATACCTGGTTTTGGTGAGGGAGGTGGGCATCTCATCAACACACACACACACACACTCACACACATACACGCACATGCGTGCGCACACACACAAACAACTGTGCATTATACTGCCAAGAGACTGCTGATCTCCTTGAACAATCAGCACTTCACATTTGGCAGGGGATGCAGGGAATAAGACACACACACCCACAGTGGGCCTTTCAGCTGTGTGCAACAGCGTCAGCAACAAAACAAATGTTTTTTTGGATATGCAATGCTAATAAACTCTGAGGACGATAGATTTCTGCATCCTTTTCATCATGGAGCTCTTTAAACAGCCAAGGTCCTCTGTCAGTCACACACAGAGTGAGCAGTATGCCCTTTGAAGTCTCACTCTCTCCTCTCTTAGATGTACCTCATTTCCATTCTCAGATGCAAAAACGATTTGTATTAATGGTGGACTAATGCATGCGCAGCAGAGGTGAGTGTATGTGTGTGTGTTGCAGAGGGAGGTGGGAATTAGAGGAGGCAGATGGATGGACGACGACAATAAAAGGAGGAAGAGGAAGCATACACACCAACACACACACAGAAAAAAAAGCCTTTGAGGTTTCTGAGCACCTCTCTAACCTTCAGTCTTCTCTTGAGCACATTGTACCCAAGAACACAGAAAATATATCTAACCTAGAAACAGCTCCAAGCAGAGCCAAAAATGAATGAAGCTCTAAATGTGTGCAAGAAAAATATTAATAAATCAACATTTATGTGGGGAACATGCAATTAACAGAGAGCAAAAAAATGTGTGTTCAATAGTAGTAACAAAGTAACAATAGTTTTTTGTGCTTTGTTATTAAAAAACGTTTAGTTTTTTTTAGCTGGGCTGCTGTTTTAAATAGCAAAAGAAATGTACAACAATTTAAAAATGCTGTCAAAACTAGTGCTATTATAGTAAAAGTAATGAATAAAAGTCCTAAGTTTAAGTAAAGTGCTAGTCCCATCTTAAGTTAAAGTACAAGCACAAAGTAGCTCCTTTGGATCTTGTTTTTCAAAGCAACTTTTGGAATTAATTAGTTCTTTTTTATATTTAAAAAAAGGTGAAAAAAGTGTATATGATGATGGTATTTAAAAAAAATCAATTTGTAGCAGACTTTAAACCAATTATTGTAGCAGGTAATTTACTTTACTTTTGGATCATGTGCTGCGCTAGAGTTTTGCAGGAGAGTTGGTTTATTTGTGGAGATACAAAATCCAGGTGAAAATAGGTTAAAAACCACAGATTTTCATTTACAAAAAGGTACAGTCTGAAATATGAGAGACCTACCATTCATGAGAGCGTAGGTGAGGATCATGACTGAGTTGTTCAGGTGTCGGTTCTCCTCTCTGACCACGCTGAGGGTCGCTCTCTTCTCCTGCTCGGACGACTCTCGAGACGTGATACCAGACGACAGGTAGATGATCACCATGTCTGTGGCTGATAGAAGACAGTAACAAAAGGTAAATACAAATACTCAAACAATGCATATATCAATTAATATCAAATAAAATGACAAGCGAGAATTGATTATGTTGTAAAAGACAAAATATGCCTATAAAAAAATGTGCCAGAGCTGGAATTGATCACGAAGGCAGCACACGCAGCACACACACACGCAGCACACACACACACACACACACACACACACACAGTGTACATTCCTAATATGCAGTATCACCACAATTTCACAATATTGTCTTCTTACTGGTGCTCTGTTTGCAGAGACTGCTGGTGTTTCGGAGCAGCTGGAAGGCCTTCTGGAAGCCCGCTGCGTGTTGTGTGGCTAAATCAGAGGCCTTGATGTTGGAGATAAAGGTGCTCATCTTCCTCTTGGTCTCACTCGTGGCTGGAGAGAGCAGACTCTTATAGCACTGGTCCAGAGAACAGGAGCGAACCGTCTCTGCCACTGACAGAATGGAGATCTGGAGAGAAGTGATAAGGAGATTCAATAAAACTATATATAGTTGGAGTAACAGTGTGCCTTTTTTTGACTGTCCAAAGCATTAAAACACATTTGGTGCTCTGTAAACTTCCAAATATAGATTCTTCCGAACAAAGCAAGGTAAGAGACAATGGGGTCTATTTCAATTCACTAACCTTGTCATGTTCATCTACGGCGTTGAGGATGACCAGTGCTGAGTCCCTGGCGATCTGAAGCTGGGTATCGGTTACAGACGCTCCGTGGTCCACCATCACCACGATGTGTTTAGACTGGGGACGAACCGCAGACACATACACTGGCCTGCAGGGACACACGCAAACATGCACACAGAGATCAGACACTCGATTACACAGTAAGATAATATGAACAAATACTGTAACAGCATGTGTACAGTGAAAATAAAATGTCATGGGAAACATCAGAAACACGTGATGTAGTTTTCTATGAGCTGGAGTAAATGTTTATAGAAAGCAGCAACATGACTCTGCAATGGTCTCCCGCATCTGCTAACTAAACATTATGTCTTTGTCTTTCACCCCCTCCTCCTCCTCCTCCTCCTCCTCCTCCTCCTCCTTCCTCCTCCTCCTCCTCCTCCTCCTCTCTCTCCTCCTCCTCCTCCCCTCCTCCTCCTCCCCTCCTCCTCCTCCTCCTCCTCCTCTCCTCCTCCTCCTCCTCCTCCTCCTCCTCCTCGCTCCTCCTCCTCCTGCAACTCGGGTGGCTTTTGTCAGAGTTTCCTTTTCTTGTCAGGTCTGCATTAAGCAAAAGGTTTTCCTCAAAGGGTCCCCTTTCCTTTACTGTTATTCTATAACACTGTCATTGCTGAATAATTTATCCAAAATCATGTGTGTTTTTCAGTTTATGGTTATGTTTTTTTGAATCGTAAAAAAAAGAGCTTTTCAGGCCTCATGTAGTCCATAGTGACACAACAAAAACTAAAGAAATATAATTAACTTCCTGCTTAAATATGAAAATGCACCCCTCAGAGAAATTATCCATTTACAAAAAGCAGACGTTGTGCTCACTGTCAGCCTGCTGTTTACATAATAGTAGGTCTAGAATATTTGGTGTGTGTGTTAATGCAGTGATTTCTAAACAGGGGTCCTTAAGTGGGTTGTAGGGGGTCCTCAGCAAAAGGAGGAATACAATATTTCTTACTTGTATCACATTTTCTGGAAGTTGAAACGACAAGGGAAGGGTTGTAGTGATCCTAGTTTGATCACTAATTGACTAATAAGACCTTTATGATCTTGATACCTAAAAATAAGAATAATACTCAAGGGGACAAAATCCTCTCAAATTAGGGGTCCGTAGACTAATGTGCATCTATCGGGGGGGTCTTTGACATGAAAACGCTCATCAGCGTGATGGGGTACAGAGGGGTGCAGAGGGTAGGGGGGGTCAGCGCCTGTATGTGTGTGGTCTGCTGGACAGGGAGACACTAATAGAGGGTGGAGAAGGGGAGTGATGTACTCACAAAGCCTCATTCACACTTGAGGCAAGCCAAGAAATGTCATTTCTCTCATGGCTGCATGCCAGCTCACTGACGTGAACAGCAAGAAGAAAAGAAATTACATCAAAAAGACGTGATTAAAAAAAGTAAGAGAACAGTGCAAAATGCAGCAGAAACAAAATAATATAGAAAGAAAAGATGAGAAAGAAAGAAAGATGTCTTTCAGCCGTGGCCACATAAAAACCCACAACACTGGAGGTGTGAAATTCCGAAAGGCTTTAATGGTACAGAGCCACATTCCTGCCAAGGGCATGTGTGGTCAGGGTGTGTGAGGGCGGCATGCCATCAACGTGCCCTCTGGGCCACCCCACAGCAACTGACAGAGAGGAGGGGTGAGGAAGAGCAGTGGGAGAGAGGGCGGAAGAGGGCGAGGGCAGGAGCAAGTTGATGTGGTTTAAACTTAAGCCGGCCTGTTCTGATGCTATGCAAAGTGAAAGGATATCTGTGTGTGTTTGGCAGTAACTTTGAGCTCGACAGTGAAAGAAAATCAAATGTTTAACAAAAGGAGAAGTTGGTCTATACCTGCTGCGGTGCTCGTAACTTCCCTTGCACTGGAACTTGTGGGCAGGGAAGACTGTGAAGATGCCCTCCTCTGAGCTGAAGTACTGCCACTTTATCCCCGGGTTGGACTTCAGGTTGTCTGCCAACACTGTAAAGGGAAGAAACAGAGAGGGAACAGCAAATATGTTACGAAAACTGATGGATAAAAGGGGAAAAGGGAGAGAGGAGAAAGATCAAAGAAGGAAAAACTGGCAGGAGGGAAGAAAGAAGGGGTAAAACATAGGAGTACAGTACAGAGAACCACAGTCTCCTCCAGCAGGGAGACCTTTTAAGTTCAAGGGGTTAACTGTGATTCCTGTGTGAATCAGAGTGGGTGAGAGAAACAACTTGCATGACCAAGATCATCACATATCATGCTGTTCATGCTCAACATTATAGTTTCTAACTGAAGCAAATTAAAAAAAAACTATGGAATACACTTGATTTCTGATATCAGTCTGTCCACTTCAGTTTGAAGCTGCACATATTTCCAATAAAGGGGTGTCGGTTAGGTAAGACTTTGTTGAAGGTTGGTCTTGTGCTTTAACAACAATGGAAGGTCCTTTATGATGGCGGACCAGAATGATTTCTGGATCAAACGAAGAGCGATCACTTAATGGAACTGTATACAATTGCATCGCCTCTCAAATCTGCTTCCCTTTCTGTCTGAACACACAGTGAGAAATAATGTAAGAATTGACTGTTGAGAATAACTTAACACATGTTATGTGAAAAGAACGTCTGCTACTTAAATCATGTTTGCGAGCTGCTGCACACAAACTTTTGTAACTTGTCTACAGTGGTTGCCAGCAAGCTACAGAATTGATTTGAATTACTTATTCATCAATCTCTACATGAAGTCGGCCCTAAATACACATTGGATATGCTTGAGTTATACAACCCTGTAAGACCTCTTAGATCTCTGGGCAGTGGCTTGCTAGTGGTGCCAAGGGTAAAATCTAAACAAGGTGAAGCGGCTTTAAGTCATAAAGCAGCACAGCGCTGGAACCAACTGCCTGATAGTCTGAACACCACAACCATTACAGTTTTAAAATCCAGACTGAAAATGTATTCTTCAACACAATTACTGAAATGTTTCTAAAAACCCAAGTAATTATTATTGTGCTTTTAATATTTTCTATATCTTAAGTGTGCTGTTTTTAACTTTGAACTGGGTTGTTTTATCTTTGAGCTGTCTAGTTTTTAACCACACTGCAGAACCTTGAATCTACCTTTGTATATGAAACCTGCTCATAAATAAACTACTTTGCCTTGCCTTACTTTCCCACTGATAAACATCAGTGCATTGTTTTCTGTTAATTGCCTTTTACCACCTAATTCAGATCTATGCAAACCTGCCTGTTAAGACGTGACAATGACATACAGCGCTTTCTGACTGGACATAAAGCATACATATGTAAATGCTTCCCCCGTTCACACCTCTCACAGAATAAATTAACTCCATGAAGAAAAAGAAGTTTGAACTGTTCAACTACTGGGAAGTATACAGTATGTTTCTTTCATGTGGATACCGGATGTCGATGTCGGTGTGTCATAACTGTGACTGCAGGGTAAGCTGAAATAACAGCTTTAACTACAACCTCTGCAGAGACACTGAGCCTAAGTATTTGCTCAACACTAACAGGCAGATATTTTTTTTTTTTTACTGGCTCACAGAGTCAACAATATCTTCACAGAGATCCCATCACAAAGCCGGCAACTTCCTTTCCGCTCACTGCAACACAAAACGGCCTTTCACAAAGAGATGGGGGGGCGGAGGGAGGATGGGGTTAGAGGGACACAAATAGAAACTTTGGGCCCTTTACCAGGCGAAAACAGAGACAGAGAGGGAAGAAACAGAGCGTAGCCTTCAAAGTAGGCTTTATTAACATAACATGAAACAATAAAGCAACTGTTAAATGTTTTTTTTCTATCTGAAAAAATACAGATATGCAGACCAGCCACGGCAAATCCAATCACCTTAAGTCAGAATAGCAAACTAACTAATCCTATAAATATAGATTCACATTATAGGACAACTCTTGTTAGGATGCAAATCAGATAGAAGGATGAAACAGTTCAGAAGCTTTAAAGGCTATAGAGCTAAAATAAAGCTAAAAACAAGTTCCATTTTACATTTCTGCACCTACACCTTATTTTTGGCTAGAAATGAATATCTCACATCCAGTCCAATATAATATTTTCTGAAGAGGAAGTTTGGTTTGATTTAGTCAGGATTTACAATGCTTAATTTCTTACTACTAATAAATATTCATTGCGGTTTCATTAGCAGCTGTATGCGTTCACCAACTATTTTGCCATTTAGCTGAGTATTTGTTATTCTTCAGCTGGAGGTTTCCATTGACATGGGTGGGATTTCAAATATCTTGTTAATTAAGTCTATGGTTTTTGCCAGACATGCTAACTGCCATTCTTGCATGTCAGCTGGGTCCAAACAGTCCCAAAATGTGGTTCTTGGCTTGTGATCACATTGAATTAATCACCGGCTAAAGAGAACCTGCTTTGACCCTTTCCAACCCTGCGGCAATATTACGAGCCAAACACAAGATTTTTTTTCTACGGTAGGGTCGGAAAATCATATGTCAAATATTCAACCAAATTAAATGTATACACTAATAGTTAAATGTGAAATCAACCAACTGACAAACATTATAAACAGCACCAAAATGCACCTCTGGCTACATGTACTTGGCAAAGAACATTTTTTGAGACACGGCAGGTTGTTGCATAACCGGCTTGCCCATCATACATCATCCCTGCCCCGTCACTCCATCCATCTCTGAGGCTCATATAAACAGGAAACACTCAGTTGTGTTGACAGTGGAAGAAGGGCTCTATATACATCTGTCAGGCCACAATGCTCCACTCTGCCACTGATGTTTACATCTTCCCAGAAACAGATGGACAAGCCAAGAAATAGGACCCAAATGACACCCATTTCCTACAACCATAATTGTAATGACCTGCTTTGATACATCTGCATCTACATCCTTACATAAACACACCATATGTTCAGCAAGTATCACACGCAAGGAGCGAATGGTGCAGATATTGGGGAAAAAAACAAAGAATTTACTTCATTGTCGTCATATGACCTACTTTGCTCTGCATGGTGGTGCTAAGGATTGCACAATGGTGACTCTCTCACTGGTTCTTTCATTTTATAAAAGACAATTAAATCTACATCAGTTCTATATCAGATTTGTGTTTACATCCTGATGTTTAACAGTTATGTTTACTGTATTCCCCATCTCAGTTTAGCATGCTAGCTTTTTATGGCGCTACATGGAAAGTGAATGGATCACCAGAGCAAATTTATCCTGGCGAGAATATGAATCTCAAGGCAACCCATCCAATAGTTGTCTTGGGAACTTGGCATGGTAAAGTCAAGGTGACAATGGTGGCATGGTTGAAGTTGTTGGAAAATTGGGTAAATATAAGTATATAAATACATGCATGCACATACAGTTTGGTTCCTGAAGCAATGCACCTTTTGGGTGAAAGATTTGTGGGGGTTGAAGACAAGATGGAGGAAGAGAATATTGGAATAGTAAAATAGCAAACATGGAGGTGACATGACATCTCTAAGCCAGGTAATTGGATGAAATTGCAATGGAAGGATACGAAAGGAAAAAATGGATGGAAGAAAGAAGATGGATCAAACTAGTCCTCTAATCATACAGCACTCAACCCAAGTCATCTCTCATCTAGCTGTCTTTTTACTCCCACCTGCTGGTATCACCATTGATGCCTCCCACATCCACTATCTCTCCCCTTCCTCCCCAAAAAAAATAAAATGGAAGATGAGAGAAGAGACGATGGAAGGAATACAATACAGTCTTGATACAATTACTCCATTTCAATCAGCTCTCACCCCTCCTTTCTTCGCTTTCATTCATCATTCTCTCCCTCTCAATTATCCCTCACTCCCTCCTTCCCCTCGGTGGCTGCTTGTTTAGACTGGGCTGAGACAAATGGGAGAGAATGAATACGCTGGGAACGTGGGGGTCAAGGAGGGCTGAGTGTGAGGGACAGGGAGAGGAGAGGGGAGGCGGAGGGGTAACTTGAACTCGCCATGACTGGCTTGTAAGGAAAATAAAACCCAGCCGATGGTGACGTGTTATGAATGGCAGTCATTATGAATGGTTTGCAGAGAGAGGAGCAGGCTGGGATGACTGGAAAAAAATAGGGGGGGGAATGGGATGGGAGAAGCAGAACAAATGATGTTGGTGGTTTCCTGTAAAATAGAAAGGAAGAGAGGGGCAATTGGTGGGAACAATGAAAGAGTAAAAGGTTAACTTTATTTCGAATAAACTAGTTTGTAGTGTCCTCTGGATATGTAAGGAAATAGGGTCTATCTTTTTTATTAAATGGCCACTCTAGAAGGTGGGATGAAACACTTGCAGTCCAAGTAAGAAAAGAAAAAGCAATGAATCATACCAATGGGGATAATGGCACATACTTTCAGTTAGTGTTTCCTAAAAGACATTGATGTTACACAAAAAGAGAGCTTAAAAGAGAAGTTCATATCCTTCTTACTTTCTCGCCTCTGAACACGTGGCGAGGCGCTGTGGACGTCCTAATTATACCACAAGCACTTAATTTGCAGCATGCTGATGTCTTCAAGCAGCCCCTCCCTCTTTTTGCGCCCGAAAATAATTCAATCTGCAGCTATTTTTTAAAAGTCTAGGCTAAAATTAGTTGCAATTTTGTTTTTTTTTTTACAAAATACTGCGGTAAGTAAGCTAGTCAGGTAGTTAAGCATGCTTGTTACTTTTTCTCCCTGAAATCCGGTTATAAGGTAACCTTTGTGCTTCCTACTACGCCATATAGCACTGTAAACAAGCTCTGCAAACCAAATTAGGTTAGGTTTAAGTATTAGATTAGAAATATAGAAGTTTTAGTGGCTTAAATTGGAGTTTAATTAAAGCAATGATTAGCAAGGGGAAAATCAATACGTGACAAGACATGGGATAGGGAAACAGTGCTGCCACTATGTTAGTGGAGTTTAAAGCTGGATTTGTATTTGACTTTCGCTGGTAAAAGTGCTTATGAAATTGATTTTGTTTTTAAGCATAAAACCGCAGTACTTGGTAAAATAAGCTACATTCTTCCAATTTGACAATTTTTGTAGAAAAATGTGGGGTATTTAAAAACCTTTCTTATGAGTAATCTTACTCATAAATCTTGGTAAACCTCTGGTAGAGATGGCTTTAATTCTTGCAATCACACAATCACAAATTCCTGGAGGGGACTGGTAGTGATTTTACAATGTGTGACTGAGACTGGAGGGAAAGTGGTACAATATTCCAGGAAATACAGCTTGTGTTACAAACACAGAAGGAACACACCGCCAACCAAGCAATGGCAGCAGAACACAAAAACCAGCGGGGGAAAGTTGGCCTTTGCCTGGTTTTCAGTCAATTCAGTCCATTTTCTTCCTAATCAAATACAGGCCGACATATGTGGTACAGACACATGTGGGTTTTACATGGTTATATTCTGCAATGTGCTCATACAATCTGGAGGCTCAATAAATGTATTGTGGGAGCGGTAAGAACACCATCAAACTGTTTTCCATTGCTTGATCTCTAGTAGGACTTGTGAGGTTGCATGTATGTACCATAACAACACAAATACGCCTGGTTTTTGTGACAACTGATGCAATTTCCATTGGAGGTGAAGTGAGGACAGAAACGAAGAACGGATACTACCTGAATACAATTGCAGACAGAGTTCAAAGTCAAACAGAGTGCATTTGATCTCGGGCTATAAAAATCATTTTAAAATCAAAGAGAGGAGGAAAAAAAAAAGAGAGGCCAGACAGAAAGAGAAAGTGAAGAAAGTGTGAGTGAGGAATCACAGGAAAAGACTGGAAAGACATCTCTTTAGATCTGCACAGCAAATTATTTCCATCTCAGATCAATGTCCTTTCCTCTTAACATTTCAGAGGATAAGAAGAATAGCAAAGATAGTACAACTTCTTAATTAAAATCCGGTTGCCATGGCAATTGCTGTTAAATTATTCAGCATTTGGTGTGTAGTAAGAATTCCAAAGTTTAAATGGTGCAAAGCTTTGTGTGGGCATGTTTTAGGCATTTGTTTAACCAGGCCAGTTTGTATACTAGCAAATACTCGTAACTTCATCTGGTGTGTGTGTGTGTGTGTATGTGTGTTTTGTGTGTCTGACAAACCTGAGTTGAGGTCCCGTCCAGGGTTGAAAGCTCGGCTATTGACAGTGGGGGAAAGTCTGTCACAGCAGATGGTCTTGGAGACATTGGTATTGAAGTTTCCATCAAACCTAAATACACACAAACAGGCAACATTTGAGAAATTTATAGAGCGTGTCCAGCTCATTTGTTGGTGGAGCAGCTCTGGGTTTTCTCTCAGCACTAACAGATTTACTACTCCACAGCTTTATTTCCAATAAAACACAACTCACAGGTCTGCAAATACCTCTGACTTCATGGTAACATTCATGCTTTAACTAAAAAAAAAAAATAAAGGATTACATAAAAGGTGAAGAAATCTATGTGAAACCATAGAGTTAATCCAATTACCTGAAACATCTGTTGAAACTAATAGACCCTGCTTGTTTCATTTGAGCTGAATTGTATCGGTGGCTATATCATCTGTTGCCCAGACCTCATATTAAAAGTAGGAGTTATGGCAAGTGAATAATATTTTCCATGGAAAACTGCCTTAATTCTGCTTTTCTCCAAACAAAGAAAATACCCAGTTCCCTGAATACATCTGAATGTGATTGTAGAAGGGGCTGCCCGCTCAGTTTGGTGATTTAAATCATCTGTCAGAGAGCTCCAACTTGTCAGTCTCTTTGTCAAATTTTTCACATTCCCTCTGTGTCATCTTCAACTGAACATTATACTGATATCAGAAAATTTGCAGTAAAATGACTGTTTTCCATTGAGCTATTGTTTTGCAATTTTTATGTAGCATATTTGTATGTAATTATGTATTTTCATTCATTATACTATTAATATTCACACAAAGTCATTGGTAAAGCAGTGAATTTGTTTGGGCTATATTAGTAAAACAGCTCTTTGTTCATTTTTGTTAAATAACGAAAATCCTTGTGTGGTAATGCAGTTGGGAATGTGGTCTATTTCAAAAACTCTGTTCATGTCTGCAGGTTTTTGTGTCGAGAAAATCTTAGTCATAAGTCTGAAAACTGTAATCTAGATAACATATGCACCCATTTATAATATCTTCCTATCTACAGTTTACAATGGAGCCTAATTAAATGGTACAGGATGGATTCATTCAGAAGATAAGAGCACAAAAACACTTCAACCCAGTACCTGAGATTTTGAAGATATGTAGATTCCTATATTCTTAACAATATATGCAAAAAACATACTGTATAGGGCTGACACTGAGAGGCACTTCTATTGCTCAATTCAGGGTTACGGCATTTGAGAAGATAAAAGAAGGAAGTCGAGACTGTGATAAGAGAAAATATTGAAATAACTGATTTAAACATTTGCGTCAGCCTCACAACTAATACAATAGTTACAACATTGGCAGTAAGAACAGTCGGGGTTAGCAAAACGGAGGGAATTCAAAATGGCAACGAGCCACAGAATTTAAGTCTTTCACCAAACCTCATCAACCAGACTGAGAATCCACGTTATGAATATCAATGTAATTTGGCCCCTGAACAGCAATATTTTATAACATGCTCTTTCCCTTGAACTAAACAATGTGACTGTTAGCACTGAGGATATGTCTCTGTTGGCAGATATAAATCGACAAAAAAGGGGAGCCACATTAACCTTGGAGGCAGCTAGGCTTGCAAGATCACAAAGAATTCATCTTGCCAGGCTTCAATATATTCATTTATGGCCAAACATGGCCTCTGTGCTGGGCACATAGTGGTTAGCGTAGATGCTTCTAGCTAAAGTTATATCAGAACTGGATAGTATTTCTTCATTGAAAGAAGAGCAAAGATTGACACTGAAGGCTTTTCTCGAGATAAAAAATGTTTTCACTCTTTTTCCAACTGACTTCGTTAAGAGTTTGACTACGTTATGGTTCGTTGATCTGACAGGTTGAAGTTTAGCTGTCATCTCATCACCTGTCTGCCCTTTCCCAAACTGTTTCCAAACAGATGCTTCTCGTAAAAAAAAAAAAAAAAAACACCCGGCGCATCAGGTTAGAGCAATATTGCCTTATCATGTGATTCTAGTGAGCACAGATGAACAAAGTGTTTAGTTAAAATATGTCGATGTATTCACAATTCCCAGCATTACACTTTACATGTAACTGCCTACGAGAGCTCTCTGTGGTGTAAAAGATGTGGCCTGTAATGCAGTGTGTTCCTTGAGCATACACACACCCAATTGTTTAAACGAGTGTAAAAAAAAGAAGACATGTGTTGCAATCAGCCACATACTTAACACGGCTTTCTTACAAACATCTTCACACAATCCTTTTAAGTCATTTATAGTGTAACACATACAGACTATTAAAAATAAT